CACTATTTTATAAATACTCAAAGAGTAACAGGGAGTTTTAATATTCAAAGTTGTGTTACAATGGCCATAAGGCCTAAGTTATATAGGCAGGGGAAGGGGGAGATAATTCACAATACATTGAATGTTAACTTAGGGAAGCTTCCTTGCGACAATCTCTTCCAAGGCATGGGGTATTGGCCACTCATTCCTGTCTCCTTAGTGGAATAAAATCAGGGATGGGGTTGGGGGTTGTGGGGTTTTGGGTTTTAGGTTTGTAGTGGTTGTTTTCCTGGGTTTTTTGGGTATTATTTGGGTAAGAATGGAGGGTTGTTTCTAGTCATTAAAAGGGGACAGGGCTGGGTATTATTTATGGGTATTTTGGAGTTATGGCTTTGGGTTATTGTGAGGGAAACATGGGCAGGAATGGTTGGCTAGTGGTGGGTCAGGATTTTGGCCCTTTGTGGGTGTTTACGTTGGGATTGTGAGGTTTAATTGGCCAGGAAATAAAAGGAAAGAGAGAGGGTTTTATTTGTTTATTGGAAAGGCTTGGAAGAAGGAAAATAACACAAACAAAAGGTTTTGGTTTACACATTCTTATTTTGGCCAGGGGCTTAAATAAGAGTAGGAAAAACTTTATTTTGAAATGAAGTAAATGGCAAGAAGTTTTGGATATTTTGGGTTTGGTTGGACGGAGTGGGAGTTGGCCTGTCGAACCCTCGGGTCCGAAGCTATTCTGGCCTCTTGGGTTGAAGGACTCGGAGTTCTCACTAAAACGGATCGTAATGCTTGAACTTAAGTCCTCTGGTTTCTGCGAGGGTGTAGGACATGGGGGAGGGTATGATAGGGCTAGGCCCGGATAGAACATCTTTTGTCTTGATGTGAAAATCATTCAAAACCATCCTTGTTATACCCGAACCGGGGGTCTAAACGAGTTGCTATTTTGAGGAGGACTCAAGGAATGATTCAGCTTTGAGTTCAGGGTTCTAGAGCAGGAGATAATCGATTTACACAAAGTGACAATCGATTACTGAAGGCTGCAGAATTTATGGGGAAGCTGATAGTCGATTATCTGGAAAGGATAATCGATTATTGATCCCTGCAGGTGTTTCCAATGGGATTGATAATCGATTGTGGGGAATGATAATCGATTATTTGGCAGAATTCTGGGCAGGAAGATGGGTGTTTTTGTGGGGGAATGGACTGGAAATATATGGAGTTGATGAGAGAGTTCTTTTGGGTATTTTAATTGGAAGAAAAGAGTGAGATTAAGAGGAGAAATGGGGGGATATGAAATGGAAGAAAATCAGGGATGGATAAACCAAGTTGGTGTTTAAGAGATATTACACACTCTTATCCTAACTTGGTGTTTAAGAGATATTACACACTCTTATCCTAACATCCTCCCGATCTTCAAAAGAGTTTGTCCTCAAACTCGGAAGATCTTCAAAATCCTTGTACGAGCTAAGATTTCTTCGATGAAACGTGGCAGCAACTTCTAGGCCTCGTGTAAGATTGACGAGGTAGGAATTTTTGTGAACCTTTGCCATCACTTCAAACGGACCATCGTCTTGGGGTTGTAGCTTTGACTTGCGCTTATTGAATAAACGCGCCTTATGAACGTGAACCCATACTAGGTCGCCGGGCTGAATGGACCATTTCGAGTCATGACCCTTCTCAACCTTCTTTTCATACGGGGCCTGCAAAAACTCAACACGTTTGGTACGAAGTACCGTTAACAAAGATAGGTCTCGAGCGGAGGTTTCAACGTCAGGAGTAACGACTCCTTCGTGGGTCTTCTTTTCTTGCTCTTCTTCTTTTATCTCCGTAACCCAAAACGGGTTATCCTCTGCGTCCTCAAAAACTTCTTCATCCTCTTTGACACGTTCTTCATCCCAAATGGGATCATAGTCCTCGTCATCATATTTGTCCCAAACATTCTTTGGCGAAGTGGGCTGCATTGTTTCGGTAGTTTGAGAGGAGGGTTGTTCGGGCTTAGAAAATTGGGGAGCAAAAGTGGGGTTTTGAATCATGAAGAAAGATGACTCTTCAAGGGTACTCTTGGGGGCCTGTGGTTGGTTTAAAGACATGACGTTGGGAACGGATTGGGGTGAGGGCGTCGGACCAGAGTTGGGGGTGTGATGGGCAGTGGTCAGGAGGGGTAAAGGCATGGTTTTAGATGGTTTTTCAAGTGGGGGTGTAGGGGTAGGCGTGAGGATGGTTAGGGCAGTTTGTGGAGGAATTATAGGCAT